GCATGCCAGAGAGATGCTGCGGGCATTTTACACTTAAAAACCCTACCTGATGAAGAAGGAGCTAATAACCATATTGTAAAGATGAAGAAACAGAGGTACTGCGAGGTTAAAGGTACCCTAGCTAGGAAGTGGTAAAGCTGGAATTTAAACTAAGGGGGGCCCTAGCTTTCAAATCTCTGCTCTTACCCAGTAGGCAGTCCTCTCCTGGGGTTCCAGCTCATATCGCCTTACCCAGGCACAGCTGCGCCAATCCCCTCACCAGTTGGCTTGCTCCTGCCTCCACATTCTGAATTCTGCTACCACCTTATTTTCCCTCAAACTCCTTTGTGATTGGGTCTTCCTCCCAGTCAAGTCTTCAGTGGATCCTCATTCCACGTAGGATAAAGCTACTGTGCTCTACTTCCATTCCCCAACCCCTATAGCAATGCCCAAGCTCCTACTCGAGAACAGAGCTGAGCTCATACCTTAAACCTGCCCCTTCTTTGCTCTTTGAATTCTCCCTAATCAGTACCCCACTCAAATATTTCCTTACCTTCATGAGGCCATTTACTGATCACCCTGGCCTGAAGTGATTCTTTTGCTTGTCAGCACTTTGACAATGGCTGACTTTACTCACCACGTACTAGGTACTTAACACTCAAGATCTTGCACGATCCTCACAGCACCCACAACTCTTACCACTCTTACTTTACACAAAAGGAAACAAGCTCAGAGGATTCACTTGCCTGAAATCACAAAGCAAGACAGTGGCAGACAAACTGGGTCACATCCAACTATCTGACTCCATGAATACAGCACTTTGGATTATGTCTGCTTTGTCCTTCTCCTCCACCGTGGCCACTAGTTACTACTTACGTCTTGTGTTGTTATGGAGTTTTCCTAGTGTTTTCTCTTAGTTCTTCCCACCTAGAGGACACAGCCTGAGTCCTAAAAGCTGTATTACAGCCAGTTTGTGAGTTATTAGGTATTGGAAGTGAAAGGGAGTTGCTGCCCCACTGATTTTTGCATCCCCAGCACCCACCACAGAGCCTGGGTGAGTTGCAGGTACAGTCTGAAGGAATAGCAGGCTATGCACCCAAGTATGGTGAGACCTATGGGTTAGTTCACCAGGGTATTTGTCTGCCTGCCCTATGTGTACAAGTAATGCAAAAGCAGGACTCAGTCAGCTCTTGCCAAATGGTCTGTGGTGGGAGACTGCCCAGGAAAGCAACTTCTCCCACCTTCACTGGGGCTTCCAAGGTTGCCCACACAGGCTTTTCATGTCTGACCGAATCACTTACCCACGTGTTTCACTTTGCTCCCCGCCCAAGATATTAAACGAAGCCACCAAGGCTTTAGGCCTCGATCAGCAGGTTTGCCAGCTGGGTGAGTTCCTCTTAAGTCCATCTGATCCCTTACTACTCCCTCTTCTTTGTACTCGGTTCCCTGTACTAAGGGTGCAGCTGGTCTCAGTGCAGGTGACAGGCCTGTCTCTGGAGCTGGGGAAGGGGCCTTATCTACACAACATAGTCTGGCCTTCTCGCACAGGAGGCTAAACTAACAGACCCCTCCCGCCCAGAACACCCAAGTTACCTCCAGTGCCGTCTCCCCGAGTGAAGTCTCCACCCTGGATCATGAAGTCCTTGATTACACGATGGAATTTGCTGTCTTTGTAGCCAAATCCTTTCTGGAAAAAGGTGAGGAAGTGGCATGAGGCACTGGGCAAACATTAAATAGGCCCTGCAGGAGCCCAACCCACAACTCCTGCCCACAGAGGAGGCATCGCTGCTGGCCAGTCACTGCTCAACGTGCTGCTGAGTGAGCAGCGCCCCAGGCCAGGCTGCGAGCACAGACCTAGGAAAGGCCAGACTGCATATTCCTCTGCCTTTATGCAATTCTCAGACTTTACATAATTCTACTTCACATAATGCCTCTGCCTTTCCCTCTCATTTTTTTCTAATCATAAGAACAAATGCAAGAAAACTGACCCCAAAAAAGGTTACTTGCTGACCCAACGGAAAGTTGAAATATAAACCTTCTTTAAATGGGGCACTCTTGTTTTCTTAAAACCTGGGAAACTCTGGACTTCTTACTCTTAAGAGAAAGCTGTGTGCAGAGGCCACAAACTATAGTTCCACAGATATGCTTTCTTTGGTTATTGCAATGTATTAAAAGATAAATTTTCTCAAAAAAAAAAAAAAAAAAAAGAAAGAAAGAAAAGAAGGAAAAGAAAGCATCCAGATTTCTGGATTCAGTATAAAAAACTCAAGATAAGATTAATACTGGGTCGCACTGAGAACAGGTCAGCAGTCAACTGGTACTCAGGTCTACTAATACAGATGGGCCATGTTCTGCAGTTCAGTTTGCTGCCAGCCCTACCTACGAACTTCACTTTATTTGAATTTGACCACCTCCGCTCTAATCACTTACCTCTCCTGTAGCTAAGGCCACGAAATTATCCACTGTTTTTGGAACAGTCTTTCCAAAGAGACCAATGACCACCCGGCCTATATCTTCATCTCCAATTCGCAAGTCGAAGTACACCTGAGGAAAAAGAGCATTTCAAGCTTAGCCTTTAAAGGGGCCTAAGTAGAGAAGGGAGGGCCCAGGAAGCTACCAAGGATGGGAGAGAAAACAGAGCCATATTTTAAGAGCAGTGTTTCTGTACCTCATTTTGGTGGCGACAAAAACCCTATGAGACTCTAATCGAAGTCCCAGGCCTGTTCCCCAGAAAACCTGTTTACACTTTCAGACTACAGAGTAACAACATTTGTTCTAAATAAATAATGAGCCTAGATCCTGGAAATTAACATAAAAAATACAAAAGGAGGAGAGCCTAGGCTTACTACCCAAGTTTAAAATATATTGCTCTGCTTGTACTTGGAAGTGGCTAAAATTTGACTCAAACAGAGAAAGGATTCACAATTTGGCAGACGTGATCTTTTACCATTCGCCCGCATTACGGGGTATCTGCAAATAAAGGTACTGAGACTGACAGCGCCAGCCCCAGCTGGGCATCCCAGGCGCCAACTTCTGGGTAAGGGCAGGGGTGTCGGGGAGAGTACGAGTCATTCTCTGGTCTGAATGGGCGAAGGCCGTCAAGGCGCCACGAGGCCGGAAGACGAGGGAGCGGCTGAGCCAAAGCGGAGGACGCCCAGGCCATAGCTCCGGGACCCTCAAATGCCTCCGACACCAGTGACCAGCTGCGCCGAGGCCAACCCCAGGCGGCGGAGGGCGGGCCTTGCCGGGTAGGTCTGGAGAGGGGAGGCCGGACCTTGACGGTGACTTTGGGCCCCTTCTTCTTCTCGTCGGCCGTAGAGGGTCCTGGCAACAGCAAAAAGAGGACAGAGCCCAAGACCAGGGCAGCGGCGAAGAGAACCTTCATGTTCCGCTCCGAGATGCGCAGCATCCACTGGGAAAGGCGAGCGGGGCTGGGGAAGCCGAAGGCCGGGAGAAGGTGGAGGCAAGGCGGCTTGGACACCGGCGCCGCCACCAGAGAGCCGCAGCGGGGGAGGCCGGGGTTCCTCCAGGCCTCCTAGGAGGAGGCGAGCCTCATTTCCCCCCTCTGGTTCGGCGCCGGATAGTAGGTTCCCACGGGAGGCGGAGCCCGGCTCGCTGACGGGGCGGGCCGAGACGCGGGCTCATGGGTGGCTGCCACGTTACAGCGGCCTCATGGGCTCCCGAGCTCGCCCACCCACAGGAAGAGGATCAGCGGAGGGCGGCGCCCCTTCAAAGAGAACCAGGATTGGCTTTCTGAAGAGACTACGAACCCCAGTATGCAGAGCGGCACATCCCGGGCCGGTTTGCTTTTGCGGAAGTGGAAATCTTTTGGCGGATACTTTGTTAGGAAGTCCGCGGTAGGGACAGAAGACTCTTGTGATTGTCCGTATTAGTCCATGTCACCACCAAATCGGGTTTAAGTGTGGTAGTTTCCAAACAATCAAGGCGCGTTTATGCTTACCCAGAGTACGACCTTATACAGCTCTTTGTACTTGGCTTGCAAAGCTTGATTCAAAACCCACTTCCTTTTTAACTTAGTACCTGTCACTTTATTGTTCATTTTTCTCTCCCTTCTCTAATCTTATTGTGCTTACCGCTGTATGAGTCAGTACACACTCCATTGCATACTCTGGTTCTCAGCTTTTTATACTTATTTTCCCAAGTTAACTACATATTTTCGTGAGCAACGCACTTATTTTGTATGCAGCTCCCCCAACACTGCCGCAGGGCTGAGTGCTCAAGAAATGCTGGTTGTGATGGTGTCACATTAGGCATAGAGGTGGGAAATAATATATACAACGGCCTGAGGTTTAGTCTCCCTGTTCTAGAAACCTTCAGGAAGGTCGATAGTCCTCAGATGCCCCCACAGCACTATTTCAGGTCTTCACACATACATGGTGTTCTAGTCTACAACATATATACTTAAGTTCTGGGAGCCTTACAAATCCCCCGAAATAAAAATTACATCTTTCCCAAACTTCGACCTATGACTTTATTAAACATCTTTACTTTTCAAAGATTAAAGTTATGTAAATTCCTGGTCTTCGCAGCCCAGATTGCAGGTAGGCATAGCTCCATTTCCATAGTTGAATTCTGCAGTTTGGTCTCTATTTGAGGTGCTGACCTGAGTTTGAGGTTATGCATGGCCACTGGCATTAACTTGTCCTTCCTTGCACTGAGATCACTGCAGACAAGCTGCAGAGCTTCAACAGACAGTTCTCTCACACAAGTGACATTTGCTTTTCTAATCCTCACACCTCAATCCAGACCACCTCTACTAGGTGGAGATTCTTCTAGATAAAACTGTTGCACTGACAAAGACGATCTTCCAATCTCCCTCCACTTAATTTTTTTGGTCAAGCCTCTTTCCTTGCTTACTGGTCTCACACTGCTCATAACCACTGAGAAAAATGTTTACCAAACTGTTTTCAAAGTAGCCTTCTCCACATAAAATGGCATAAAAGCAGCCTTCTTACCCAAACCCACCCCTTTTGAAAGAAAAAAAAAAAAAGCTTGATGAATAAAATGCTCTCAATGTGAAGTTTTTCTTTCATGATAACTGTAAACTTTTTCTACTTACTTACCTACCAGTGGCAAAAAAAAAAAAAAAAAAAAAATTAGGTAGTAATTGAGGAGTAACAGAAAAAATTGAACCAGCCAACCATGCCCGGATGGGCAGTTGTTTTTGTGGAAAATATATGCCCCTGTGATTTTGTATTACACATCACAGTTACATCTTTTGTCTGTATAGGTGTTCCTCATTAGTAAAGAATTATAAAGCTACTATTTCAAAGTTGTTCCACAGAGAAGATCTTAACTTCCTAATGTTCTACCACCTAAGAACCATAGGGATACTGGAACTAGTCTGTGAGTGTTGCATGTCCAAATTCTGCCAGGATTATTTAAAGTGACCCACAAGGCAAGGCAGGCGGCAATGTTCAGTGTTCAAAGGGATGAAGCAAGAATGCCAAGGTATCAAGCACTATTTTCATTTACTGGAGGATTGAATCACATCGAAGTTAGTCCTAGCCAGATTGTTAATTACAAATGAGCCAGGGGAGATTAAACCTGGACAAACCAACCAAACAAGCAAAATTAGCCAAGAAAAGTAAGACATTTTATTTTACATACAAAAAGGGTGCAAACTGAGTCCTTCCCTCCCCAAATTGGGGAAGAGGTATACTTAAAGATCACATTTGTGTTTTCCATGGTGCCCTAGGAAATGGACTACTCTGAGACAACGTATCAAGACCTATTTCCCATTTTCTCCAAAGAAGGATACTTCCTCTGCAGAGGAGTTTTTCCTACTGGTGTTACAAATCTCTCCTGGAGGAACCATTTCAAATACACTTGAAATTGACATTCATGTTTAAAAATACTACAAATTTCATTTTCACAGCTGAGCTTTGTGACCATTGCCAGGGTTTATGAAACAACATTACATCATCTAAAACAAAAGGTAAGAAAAAAAAGGATTGAACAATGATCAGACACCATCCACACATCAATTAAAACTGATTTCCACAGCTGATTTATATATTATCTAGTCTTAAAAAAATTGCAATCAACATCCCAACATCTTTTAAAAAGTACAATGGGCAAAGATTTAAGAAACAGACAAAATAATAATAAATTAGAGCATGTAATATATCCAATGAGGATTGATGGATCAACATTATTTTCTTTTGGGGGAGGTTGTAATATTTTTGGTTTCATCTCTATCTTTTCTGCTATTTACTCTTCTGCTTGATAAATGGGGCTCATTCCCAGAGCCAGCTTGCTGTGACACTAATTTGAGAAGCTCCCTTGTTACTTGTTTACTTCCTAGAATATTCAGGAACACATGGACCCAGCAGCCTGGGCTGGGTTTTTATGGAAGTGAAATGCACACAGATGAGCACACACATACTCACAGGCATACAAATGCATTCATACATACCCATCTGTAAATTTATTTCCCCCCGAAGAAATGGCTCATCTTTCCTGAGACACTGCTAACAGACTGATAAGCCTCTTAAAAAAGCTTCTGGTGCAGGGCTGGCCTGGGATTTGGTCTGGAGCTCATGAAGAGGAACACTGAAAATGTCTCACCTGCCCAGAAGGAGGGGACTTGTGGGGAAGAGGCAGTCAGGACAGCGGTCCCCTTGTGTTACTGGGACGACCGCACCACATCCCCATTTATTACCATGGATAACTCTCTGCTCTGAGACTTTGAAGGTGGTGATGGCACTGGAAAGATGATTGCAAGGAATAAAGAAAACAAAAGAAATTCTGTCCATAGAACTGAGATTTCTTTAAAACATCAAGTTTGGTAACCGAACTAGAAATATATGGAATACATGTTCACTTTTCCTTGGTAGGCTGATCCACAAATACTGGAGTGGACTTCCTGGTTGTTTTTTGAGGAAATATGTCAACTACTACTGTCTATATCCAGGGAACCTACTTACTATTTTGACTACAATGAAGAAACCTGTTCTTTTGCACTCAGTCACCTGCAAAAGTAGTTAGAGAAAACATGTTTTTAAGATTGCTTAAATGATCAAAGACTTCCAAGATTCCTTATTTGTGGCTAAAACACTGCTCAAAACTCTATAAACCCTTAGAAGGGCCATAGTTTCCTCTTTTTCTTAAACAAATACAAAATCATCGCCCCACCCCACCCCACCCCCCAAAAAAATAAAAACCCAAGGAAACAAAACCATAGGAATCCCGTTTTGATTCCTACTGACCCATCATTAAGACTGGGAGTCACTGTCAATCAACCTCTAGATGGGACTTTTCTGGAGCTGGCAAAAGCAAGAACTCCAGAGACAAGTGCCTGTTGTTCACTTGGCCAATCCAGATGGGTTACATAGTTATCCTGGAATTCATCTGCCTACCTTGGGTCACTGGTGGGGGTGGTGGCAGTGAACTGACAAAGGCAATGTTGGCTGTATGGCGCTGCCAACTTTCAATCTGAGAAACTGGCTCTAACATGGTGGCTCTGACACTGAAAATGCTGTCAGGGCAAGTCACTGGGAATGGAAAACTGGTTTAAATATGAAGATGGAAGAGGTGACCGAGACACAGGAGGCACGTGGGCTTGGGAGAGATGCATCAGAAGAAAGATCAAGTTCTTTTGAGAAGATGCTTTCTAGGCTGCCATGGAAGTACTTATTTTTGAAAAATGCAGGCCATGCTTGCTCACTGCGGAGGGGGAACAGGGTTCTATCTTTTGCATAAAAAAAGTTAAGGCTATGATCTTTAGTAACCACTCTGACATAACATTACCAGCACAGCATATCTAACATTAAAAGTGATTACTAACACTGATAATCAACACTGAATACGTACTACCAGTGTACATTTCCAGTGAATTAAGTCAGAAGTTACTTTAGAGGTAACAGACACCTCTTCTGGCTAATGGCAGGGGCTGTTTCTATGTACTTGGAGTTCACTGAGAAGTAACAGGTGTTCAACACTTTTACTGGAAACCTCAGTATCCTGCTGTCTCCTGTCGCCCCTATATTCTAAAATGAAATGGAGCTTTAACTGGAGGCCGACGTAGTCACCTGACTTGTACCTTCCTAGACATACCTCAAATAGCAGGAGAGTGTTAATTAAGGCAGTCATAAAAACACACTGGCTGCTGGCACACTCTGCCCACTCCTGCAGAACAGTCTGGAGTGAAATCACTGGGAAACACCAAGGTAGGCATAGCAAGTGATCAAACCTTATGTGCTTAGACTTCACAGACTCAAGTCATGCTCTGGTCACAAAGAAAAGACCTGTTATACCTTGGTGGATTCCTGTCCTGCTTGCTTCAATTTGCTCAGGATGTAATGCCTGAAGGTTTGCAGGGCTTGGGAGAACTCCTAATGGTATTGTTGTTGTTGTTTTTTTAATGAATAGATGCTGTTAATGCTTAATGCTAACTCAGAAACAACTGCATCAATCCCAAAGAAAAAGATCCCTAGGCATCATGGTTGTGAAATGGAGCGAGCTCAAAATCTACAGAGCAAGTGGATTTGGGTGAGTGGTGGGTGGAGGGAATACTCGACCCCAAGGACCTGGCTGAGGCACACAGCTAAGCAACTATAGCAACAGAGCTGAGGAGGGGGCCCTGATGTGTTGGCGGGGATGGAACTGATAGCCAAATTACTCCTTACGTACTCGTTTTTAATGTTAAAGAATCTCTCAGGGGTCTGGGACCACCCTGGAGTGCCAATGGCCCTGGAAGGATCACCATTACTCTGCATGCCAGATGGACCTGGGGCTTGTCACCTTTGAAAATCAAATAACTGGTAAGAGATTTGGGGAGGCAGTGAGGGAAAACTGCATTAAGGAGGACCCCCCTCACCCCCCCGCAAAAAAAAAAAAAAAAACTGCTCAGGTTCAAACCCTCAAGAGCTAGCCTTTAAAAAATTTTAAGATCTAAAAAGAGTCACAAACCCAGCTGCAAGGAGGCTTGCCCTGCAGCCAAGCTGGTCACTGCCTTTGCTTTTTTGTGGAAGCGGGGGGTGGGGAGGCACTTAGTGGGGTATGGAGTGCCAAGAGGCCCCAGACTCTGCCACCATTTCCCCTTGCCCTCCCTTGAGAGGCAAGACTTTTTCTATACAGGGATGAGGAAGTAAACATTTCTATACAGGAAGTTAGAGTTATCCCCAAACCAACTTAGAAACTACGTAAGTTTCAGTGATTATGCCTTAACCACTAGGCAATGTCAAGGAAACAAATACCAATATTCGAAATCCTCGTGGGGAAGGGGTGTGACACTGCATCTCCCAGCCACTCGGTTTTGTGTACAAGAAAGTTTCTTTTAAAGAAATGGAAGATTATAATCTTTACAAAAAGTAAGCAAGTTCAAAGCCAATGAAGTGGTATTTCCTAGCCAAAAACTGATGGAACAGGTGAAGTGCAGTAACTGTTTCATGCTACTGCTGCTATTTCTGCTCCATGTAAGATATACCAAGGGACTTGTCAGGAAATGCCAACTACCAGAAAGTATCCTCACACCCTCCAGTCCAGAATACAACCCTATACCTCGAGTCAGGGGCCATGATTTCCGTGTTCGTTCCCAAAACCACCAGACTAAGTCACCAGCCATTGCCCTCCACGGTTATCTGTACTCCCAGATACAGGACCTCATTCCCTAATGTAAATAATCCTTTCTCCTCTATCACTTCTGGAATGAGAGGTCACTGTTTGTTAGCCACTGAACTCAAATGAAAATCGAGCACAATAAGATTAATTCCATACATTAATAACTTTTTAAGCAGTGAATGCGGAACCAAGACCCTTCATGGTAGTATGCTGTGCGACTACACCATGCGTAGGGGGAGGCGGAGAGTGTACTGGGGAGAACGTGCTCTGGACGCACGGCCACCTTATCTGGAAAAAGTCTATGTCCAACTGAGAAGATAATCTCAGAGCTTTCTTTCATTTCATTCTCCTTTCCCCTGGAATTTTCCAGCACCAACCAATCTCACCCTCCTGTTCACTACAGCCCCATGTTCTAAGTCCTAAGCCTGCCGCTGTGGACCTGCTGGGAAAAAATTCGCAAGTGTTGGTTTCAGATAAGGCAGGCCAGCCCAAATGCTATAACTCAAGTATTGGGGCAGAAAGTACACACCAATTTTATTTCCTGGCCCTATGATGCCGAGTTCTGAGGTTCCTTTGGCAGTTGAAAGGCGAGTTCACTTTCCTCCTCTTTTTGTCCACTAGTGGCAATATGGTGGTGGCTGTTTCATCACTAATTTTGTCCCCCAAGTCACTAAGGAAGTCACATGGCTATCTATTTGAAAGTCCCTGGCAGTGGAGGAAACGGATGTTTCGGATTTTTTTTTTTTTTTCGTTTAGTATCTCCTTCTCTGGGATGAACTGTCTCCTGGTTACAGTCTGACTGGCTCATCCCATGTGCTGGAGAGCTGGGTTGTCCAAACTCCAGGTTGATGAGGTCAAGAGGCTCTGGTAAGGACATTCTTCAGTAGCTGAGAAGATGAATGAAAATTCAAGTATGTTTCCTTGCCAACCTGAGTGTTCACTCAGAATGACACAGAGTTTGGCTTCTTCTCTTCTGGGTGCTGCAGATGCAACTCTCTCCATTGAGAATGTCCTCTGGACCCATGTTCTCTGAATGGCTTGGCTGGCCCCATCCCCCTCAAACAGAAAAAAAGTAAAACTCCCAATATAACCAGACACAATATGCATCTGCCATGTTTTTTGTTAAAAAACAAAAACAAAAACAAAAAACTAAAAGTGCAATAAAGTCAGTTTTTTCCTTTGCTCAGAACAATCTGCATTGTCCTACTACTGACTGAAGAGCAGGGTTTGCTTGTCAAGAAAGCTAAGAATGCCAACACACGGGGACAGTAGGCTGCAGATTGCTTACAGTTTGTGTCCTACAGTATTAACTTCACAGGAGGGAGGGAGGGAATAACCTGCACCCCGTGACCAGCTGGGGATGGAGGCTGTGCAGGTACAGAGGAAGAGGGAGCCATACTGCCAGATAACGTCTGGTAGGTGGAGAAGATTCTTCTCTAGCTCGGGCCTGCCACCTTCCTCCTACTTCCTTGGCCGCACCCCGAGCCTCTTGAGCTCCTTCAGCAAACAAAGCCTTCACCTCACTAGCTTTTATGCTGGAGAGGACTGAGGGTGGGGCAAGAACCAGGAGTAAACTAAAGGGAGGGAAGAAAATAGTAGTCCTTGAGTTTTTGTGAATGACACCTTCACTGTAAACAATAGGAAGGAGAGTCAACCAGGTAGCCCCAAGGGCAAGCAGTAGAGGAGCAACAGCTCTGGGACCTGCTCAGAGCTGCAGGCAGGTGGGGATAGCCACTGACCCACTCACTGGGCCCTGGCTGCCCACACTGGCTCCTTCTGGGGGCATCTGTTTTCTTCTTTTTGGTTTGGATCTCCACCCTCCCCCACAGAGGAGTCCTTTCCAATGAGAAATGGCAGGAGCTGCAGGTGCAATTGAGTCAGAGTCCCCAGGGCCTGAGGACTCCTGGGAGGCACTGGTCACTTGTGGCGCTGAGCAGTCTTCTTCCTTTTCCTCTTAAAGAAACAGCAGCACCTGGAGCACAAGAACACTGCAAGTCAGTGGGAGAGGCCTGCAGCTTCCAACAGACTTCCGCCTGCTTTTGCTCACTGCAGGGGGTAGAATTTTCCCCTGGCACCCACCACAGGGCCACCCACCATCTACAGTGCACGAACTGGAGGCAGTGGGAAGTGTCTGCCAGGAAAGCTAAGAGAAATAGCTGCTTCATTTCAATCTGCAGCTACCAAACCCAATTATCAAAATGCTGCAGGCTAGACAGCACGGGGGCAAGCATTTTTGGATGATGAAGAAGGCTTACTTCCTATTCTAACACCCAACCCAGATGCGTCACCGTTATCTGGAACCAAAGCTGGGGGTCTTCAGGGATGCATTATGAATAGCCCGCACTGTCTGCCCCCTGACACAGAAGGCAACATTATTTAATGTATCTTTAGTTGTCAGTGGGTATGGAGGCTAAACTAAGGCAAACAAACCCCATGAAAAATATGATGTTTGGAACTCTAGGAGGACCTCATGATGCTACCGATGAAGGATTAAGGTCTCTCTATCCCCGACTCTCATCCAGCTACCTGGAGCAGGCAGGAGAGGCCCCGAATCTTAAAAAGAACTTTGAGGCCAGATCTCCTGACTGAAATCAGCACAGCTTACTTTTCATTTGGAGAGGATCAATGCCACAGCCCAGGAGCTGAGCACCAGAAGGCTCTGGTGGCAGGGTCCTTCTCAGCTTAGCTTCCTGACACTGCTACTGCTGGGTTACAGGACTGACCCTGTTTTGGGTGGCAGCTGGGGCCTGCTCCCTTCATGAGCCCTCCAAATGCTGCCTCCTGGGCGACAGCCACACGTCTGGCACATCCCTAAGCCTGAGTAACCCCTCCTTACTCTTGCCTTTGGAATAGAAAACACCTCTTCTCAAACAGTGACTAGTCCAGAAGGCGGTGATGAAGCCTGTGGCATGGCTGATGCAAAGGATATGTCTTTTCCAGGGAGATGACACATGGGAAATGAGAATGTGAGGGGCAGAAGATGGTGGATGAGTCGAAAATGCCAGGTGATGGAAGGGAGTAAAGCTGGAAATACAGCTCAGATTCGCTGGACCCTTGAAAGAAAAGCTTTTCTGAGAACACTATCTTTGGGGTCTCTTACCCAATCCTTCCAGGTTTGATGCCAGGAAAATTCATATGGAAATAAAGAACTATTGCTTACTTCCTATACCCTTAAGTTCTCCACTGTGGTTAAGATTCTCCTCGTCAGATCCCTTGGTATTCCTACACTCATAATGGATTAGTTATTAAAAATTTAAAGGAAGTTTCTTAGAAAAAATAGACACAGAGACAATGACGGCTCTAATCATATCTGAACGAATCAAACATGGAGATTTTGGAAACAGGAGATTCTTAAGAGAGTTTAAGGATTTTCTAACTGTATCAATGACATTTGTGAAGTACTACTAATAGGTGTGAATACAGTTACTAAACAAAGTGTCATGTGTATATGAAGACTGAATACATTCTTTTTTTCTTTTTGCAGCAATTTATCCGAGAATGGCTTTTTAAAAAATAGCAAAAACAGCATACCAAATATTTAGACAATTTTCTCAGCTTTTTAAAAAAATATTCTTTTAAATAAAAATGACCAACACTTTCAATTCTTTAAATCAATCCTCAACGGAATCCCTGGAGAAGGATTTAAGAAAAAAAAAAAAGTCTTTTTATATACACATGCTTTAGAAAACAGACATTTTCCAAGTTGAATGTCCCGAAATTAATATTAAACAAGGCAAATATAATCTCATGGGAGCAACGATATTTCAATAGTTACCTGCTGACCATGACTTTCAGAGAGATCACTAATATTAAAGCCAATTTCTACTCTTAACTGTTTTCAGAGGAGCTAAGACAATGATTTTTGTATTTTTAAGAGCAATATAAAAAAGTATGAAATACTGTTTTAGTCCATTTCAAATGACACAACTCTTCTTTTACCTCCTCCAAGGCAAGTCATAAGAATTAACATCTGCTTACAAGAATATCATAACCTGACATGCAATGCTGAATTCACCTGACTGGAGGAGAGTATGAGCTGTGGCTTACAGCCCTAGGTTAATTTTTGCTGGTTACTGTAGTTAAAGCTTCAGCAGTAGCAGAAACTTTTAATAATTCTACCCACAAGGAAACAGAATCCACAATCTGCTCTTTGACTCTTTGGTTTCCATGGTGACTACCAGCAACAGGACCTGTTAAACCTGGTCAAACCCGGACTAGCCACTGATTGACTTCATACTGATATCTTAATATCAGAAGAGAATGAAGGCACGTGATGGACCCTTCTTGTGTCTTAGGCTTCCTTCCGATTGATTCTTTGATTGGATGACCAGAAGTTCTTAACATGCTGGACTGAAAAATTAATCTAGTCTCCCTACTCACAAGCCACGAAGTGTTCTTCTCCCAGGCCTCTGAGCCATTTATTTCTTTTCCACACTGCTCTCTTACTATGGCCTGGCTCTCTCCCCGCAGCTATTCTTTGCTATCCTTCTCTTCTTTGCTGTACTTGTACATTCTTCCCTTGCTCTAATACCTGGCTCAAGTCCCACGGTATCCATGCAGTCTTCCTTGAGCATCCTATCCACAGTGATCTCTCAAGGGACAATGACATAAGTGTCCTGGAGAACTACTTGTCTTTTCAAATATGTATATCTTATCTCTCCAGCGAGATGGTACCTAAGCTCTTTGAGGAAGAGAAGGCCTTGGGACCTCCTAGAGTTCCAAGCACTGAGTTGGATGAGCACACAGTGAACCTTGAATTTGCAGTCAGGATCATATAACTGACATCTCACAGGAAAAAATAGACCATACAAGGTCAGGTTACACAGACACATGTTTGCTAAACAAATAGGCCCAATGTATTCCTCAATACTACAAAACTACAAATTCTAACTGCATAAAATTCAATTGTTAACTTCAATACATTCCTGTCCTTGGGGAAACCCTGTAGGCATCCTGACTTAGGGTTCAGAAACCAGTGCTCAACCCAAATCACTGAAGACAAATAGAAACAAGGTAGTTATAGACTCCAGCAGGCTGTTATCACCACACAAAATATGATCTCATGCATGCAGATAACATGAGAGAGTTAACAATTCCAGACTGCAATAGACCAACTAGTTCAGGAGCACCTGGAAGGTCATAGGCAGTGTCCAAGAAGAGAGCTGGGGAAGGGGTTCTGTCTTATAGCAAGAATGTACCTCACCAAATGTGGATTTTTTAGGCCTTCCCCTACTACATACTTCATGTTGTTCCTAAGAATGCATTCAAGGAACCTGAAAGAGAGGCTCCAATCTCATTGGCCAAGTCAGCCCTTGGCCCACTGTATTCTCTTACAGGAAGTGGAAAAAAAAAGTCAATAAACGGAAACAAACAAACCCAACAACAACAACGAAAAACCAAACAACATGTTCAACTCTCCCACAAGAAAGAGCTATCTTTTTTTGAGACTCATATTCTACAGATGGAGGAACGAGCTGAATCGAAAAGAAAAGTCACAGGTTTTTCCAAAGCAGCTGATTTCTAGGTTAGAGACCCAGCTGCAGAATGTGAGACTATCTGGTAACAACTATCTTTGAGGTTCTGAAGAATAATCTAAACAATTCGTACAGTAATTTTGTCCTAGCCCTGTCCCTCTCTACTTGATAACATCTGGTCATATTAATTTGGGAAAAAATTCACTCAGCTAAAAACAGATAATTTTGGATATTGTGGGATAGTATTTTGACAGGAGGAGGCAGCGATGAGGCGGGTTTGAAAAGAAAGAAGGAACAGATTAATTCCTAGGTACAGGCCTGCCCCATCCCCACCTTGTGGATCTAGTTTCCCAGTCTGGGTGGTTATGGCACAAGGTGGTATATGAAAGCCATTCAGTGTTCCTAAGGCATTTTGTTTGGCTTTGCCAATCCCAGCCTAGTCTGGTCCGCTCCCCTAGCATGTGGACTGGAGAGAGGGACTCACCACATGTTGAGCATTTTCAGGCAGCTACAGAGTGTGTAAAGAGAAAAACACAGAAAGGAAAAGAGAGAGAAAGAGAGAGATATTAGTCCACAGAGGTGAGATGGAAGCGACTCCCTGTGAGCCATGCAAACATGCAGAATGTTGTGTCTGTGTTTACTTTCTTCCTCTGTCAAGGTAGGGTGAGTAGGCACTGGCCACTTGGTCCCCACACTAAAGTGGAAGGGGCAGGCACCTGATAGAAGTATCAAGGTGGGAGCTGGATCTCAGTGAGGGGTAAGGCAAAACAGAAAGAAAGTTGGGGGGTGCGCCAGGGTGGGCTTTCCTGGGCACCATCCAGGAAGGTAGCAGGAGAAAGAGTAAATGATCCTGCCTGAAAGAATTCAGTCAAGTACCAAAGCCCAGCCATTTTGGTCCCCACATGAAATCTTACTGTGCATTTTGTTAAGCTACCCTTCACTAGAGAAGTCCCTAGCCTTTCTATAAATCCAACCTGCCTGACCAAAGCAGCCAGCAGTTAGCTCTTCCTCTAAAGGAGGAAAAACAGGCTTGACTCAGAGAGAGGAGGATCACTGCTCTGGATTTACGGCCTAAATCCATTCTTGTTAATTTTCAGGGGAAATGAGGTCCACATTTGCTCATTTATAGCTAAAGTCAATGGATAACTGAAAATTCTTGCTCCTCCCAAACAAAAGTCAACCAAAAAGCTGCTCTGCCTCACTATTCTTCCAACCATACTCAAATAAGGACATTGTCCTGTAGCTAGAGAAAAAGTGAAGTTAGATATTCATTTTGTGTAGAACAAAAATCAAGACCCTATTATTTCTCTCCTCCTTTACACAAAACATACTGGTTGAGGAACCCAAAAGTGAAAGATTAGAAGTGACGGTTTCACACAGTCTCCCCAGTATCCTAGCTGAATCTTAATATAGGCAACAACTCCCTTTTTCTCACAAGCAGACTGCAAGGGCAAATGGCATCACAGCCACATGCAACGAAGCGTTGTTTGGGATGTCTTGTGCTTCTCTAGCTGTGACTTCTTCCCACGAAAATGATCAAGCAGGTAGACACATGGCTCTGCCTTACTCTCTTCCATACAAGCAGAAGGCCAAGAAGAAAAACAAATGACTGTGCTCTAACAGTTTCCTGGGCAAGACGGATTGGTGGCTCGCGAAATCACTAGGCAATCAGCACACAAAATGCTCTAAGCTATAAGCTTTTGGATGACATCTGGTCAAATACAATTGCTCCCCTTTAGTTTCTACATCTTTAAGAAGGCCCAAACCAGGAACTGGTGGCCAAGAGGCAGAGTGATCCCTTTTTGCTAAATGGAGAGACTTTAAACTCTCTTTACATTCTAGAGTTTAGATTATACCAGGACAGAATACACCAGATTAAAATTTTTGTGAATGGCCCCCTATCTTACACACAGGACACAAACATCACACTCACATACACGATTACTGTGCACATTTACCAAAATGAAATGAGATGAATGGGTTTAAAAGATAAACGTGTATAGGGCATATTATAAGATTAAAGCCCATTCAATCTTGGTATTCAAAGCATTAAAATTATTAAGACCAGAGCTGAACTTCTAGCCTTCAAAGTAATAGCCATGATGGTGAATTAGGAGTGAGGTGGGGTGAAAATGGGTAATAGCCACCTTTCAAGCCCAGACAATGTTTGGATCAGACCACACCTAGTGCAGTGGTTCCCAACTCTGGCTATACATTCGAATCACCTAAACTTTACAAATTCTTGAAGCTCAGACCATATCCCAGATAAATTAAATCAGAAGCTCTGGGGCCAAGATTCAGAAATTTGTATTTATAACAAGCCCCAGATGACTCCAAAGTGGAGATAAGCTCAAGAACCAATAGGAAAGGAGTACATCGTTTATTTGGGAGAATAAAAACTCCCCCTGCCCTCCTTATATATTAGCGCCTTATATAAATAGGGAGAGGAGCATCTAAAGCCACCTACAGTCAGCAGGGATGCAACAGGACAGAGTCCAAGTCACCCTCAGTTGCTTTTTATCTAATGGGTCAGAATCCTCAAGTTCTGGCTTTCTAAGGAAAGGACCTCTTGAAAGCAAAGTGAGCCCATCAGAGATATGGGCAGCAGAGGGAAAATCATGCAAAGTGTATCTGGAAGGAAGAAGAATGCAGGTTTTGTTTGGCTTTTTACCACCTTATTATCAAGAGGTATAAGCTTGTTCTGGCTTGCATTTAGGTTATTTGGGGGCTCAAGAGACCACTTAGGAGAGAGTATCACTATAAATATGTTGCCTGCTTCTGAGAACAGGGTGCTGGGTTAGCCTGAATGTTTTCAGTTTATAAGAAAAATATCCATGTCAGGCTTGGCAACAGTTACTGATTTGTAAAGGACTTCTCTCTCCCTACTTCCTGTGTTCTTGTAGGTTAAATCTGGATCTGAATTTGGGATGGGGAAAAAAGGGAAAGAAGTATGGAAATGCTGCTTTTACAGTAAAATCAGCAGTTATTTCACCTTCTACGCCATATTCTAAGAGTTTAAACACAGACCATGCAGAGAGCACCAAGGGGCCAGTGGTATGAACAGGGCAAGACATTCACATGCAAGAGAAGCAAAAAAGTGAGTGAGATGACCTCCTTACCCTCTTGGGATTAGTGTAGTTTCCTTTCCTTCCCAAGACCCTTTCACTAATAGGTGCAGAGATTCTTCTTGCCTGACTTATCTGAGTCTCTGAATCCAGAATCATTTAAGTGAGAACAAAATGGCGCTGAAACCCTGGCTTCAGGACTATGTGGAGAGTGGTTAGTCAAGAACCAGAAACTTAATGCTGTTTAGCATAGCCCATGGTTGAAATAAGCAGGTTCTTCTCTGAGTCCCACAGGAAGCAAGAGGCTCTAGAGCCCCAAGAGGCTCATGACAAATATGTATTGTAGGTATTTTATCTATCGTGATTCTTTTCGGTCACTATGTCTTTTTGCCTCATGTGGACTAGAAAAATGATCGTCTTCCCAGAAATCACAGCTGAAGAAGGGTAGCAGCAGCCTTATGGTACCATGCAAAAAATAAAATGGTCAGAAGAAGAAAGCTGTGGACACAAGCATGAGGAATTCAGTCTGAGATGAGCAGCACACAGAGGGGAAGAGACGGAGAAAAGATTTTTCAACCTATGACTCAAGAATCCCCTTGAAAGATGAACGTACTTAGCTTCCTCCACTACCTCCACCTCGGCGTGAGCAGTGATGGGTGCATTGGAGTGGGCTCCCGTGGGGTCATCGACATTCAGCTCTCCATTGGTTGAACTCACCACCTGAAACAGAAAGGCAGAGTGTGACAGACACCCTGGCAAGAGGAGCCTCCTGCCGGCGCCAGAGAGGATCACTAAGGGATATCTGGTCTCTATGTTAGTTACTAGCTAGGCAGTGTATGGAATGTTTGTTTTCCTGGGTTAAGGGGCCCATCGTCTTAGTTTAGGGATGGTTCCCAGATCCTATCATGTGAGAACACAAAATTCAATGATGTAATCATATAATAACAACTTTCATACTGAACACCTCTACTGTGTCAGGCACTCTGCTACACTGTGTGTGTGTAAATTTAATCCTCACAAAAATCCTATGAAATATGTCATATTACTCTTAAATCTACCTTTCTTACTTTATTATGCTATAATTATAAAAAGACTCAGGGGTGATATTAAAAAAAATTCTAAAAAGAAAATCAATAGTGGGCATCAGAAACTATAAGCAATCACACTTTCCTTCAAAAATTTCTTCATGGCTTTGATCATTGGTTTGAAGTTATTCAAATAACAAGACTGCCACGTCCTCTCTGCTGAGAGGGCAGACGGTAAGGAAACGCTTTCCCTTGGAAGACCAGTCTTATTTCAACAACCTTTATTTCAGGTTCAGTGTCATCCCATGTCTCACTGATGGTCCCCGAACTGTAACTGAAGGCTCTCACTCCTGTCATCGGTTAATGTGGACCCGATCAGGCTTCTCTTGCTTGTGCAGCTGCTTCTGCCAACTGGTTTCATTTGCAGCACATGATTCCTGTTTATGTGGGTGCTGGGGAGTGGGACAAGGGACCCCGCTGGATAAACCACTCTGCTGTTAAAGATCTTGGCTGAAACATGGGAGAGAACCACAAAATAGAATAAATGGTTCGGATATCATATGCCCTTGGGTAAGTAACTTCATCTATTTGAGACTGCTTCTTACAGGCTGATGCGAGAATTACACAAGAGAATGTATAAGACGGTGTCTAGAAAAATGCCTGGTGTACAATAATGGAGACAGCGCAGCACAGTAAATAAGAAATAGGCTCCAGACTTGGTCAGCCCTGGTTCGAACCCTAGCTCCACCACTTACTTGCTGTGGGTCCTTGGGCAAGGTCTTCAATCTTGCTGTGCCTGAGCTTCCTAAACTAAAATGGGGAAACAATGCTGCTTACCTAATTGGGTTACTATGCAGACTCCACAGAAAGTGCTTATCCCAGCGCCATGCTACATGGCAATGGCTCAATAAATGTTCATATTACTGTTATTCTCCCTCCACAGATGTTTATTCTTATCTCCCTCTAGATCTGGGGTCCTCACCAGCAGTTAATTTGCAGAAATTTCCTGCATAGTCATAAAGAGGAAGGTGGGAGGAAATACTAGTATAAGGAGTCTTTGGGGATATTTATTCAAAGAGGAAAGGGCAGACAAGGTGAATACTACTTACTAGTAGTCTATGCCCACCATTATTTCTAAACCAGAAATATGTATTGTACTTATTAATACATGCTTTAAAAAAATTAAAACAATGCTATACAGTTAAAGAAAGCTACAATATTAAATTTGGACTTACCAAAGGGAGACCCAAATTTCTGCTAGCGATCAAATTTAGCATCTCTGATTAATGAAACTGCCTGATCTTATCTATTTCTTGACACAATATAATAAATACTATATAACATTATTTATGTAGTATTTTTGCAGGAAAAAAAAAGGTTTCATGTGAACCTAAGAATGATGGAAAGAAACTGACAAATCTAAAATGTGGGACATTCTATAGAACAAGACTGGACTCTTCAAAAAAGACATGTCTTAAAAAATTTTTTTCAAGACAGGGTGACTGTTTTAATATAGATTAAGAGATTAAGAATTAAGAGACTAAGATATTGAAAGAGACTGAAGAGGCATGACAACTAAATGCAATGCATTTTGGGGACAACTGAGAGAAATGAGATATGGACTATACATTAGATATTATGAGATTATTATTAATTGTCTTAGATATGACAGTGGTATTGCTGGTTACATGAGAGGATGCTGTTCTTAACAGATGAAGGCTGAAGTATTTTGAGATAAAATTTAATGATGACTGTAACTCATGTTCAAATAGTTTAGCAAATATTACCCAGCTCCTCACACACAGACTTAAAGCAAATATGGCAAGATCTTAATAATTCATTAGTCTAGGTTAAGGATATACATATAGGTTCATTACATCTCCACCCCTCAACTTTTCTGCAGATCTGAAAATTTCAAAATAAAAAGTTAGGAAAAAACCAGCAAAAAATAAAAGGTGGAAGAGAGAGGGTTTACACTGCAGAATGGAGAACCACGCTCCTCATGCTAATGCTGTCCTATGAATTTCCTCAGCCTACATTTGCTTCTTGTGGGCACATTCGAGCGGCATACTAGAGATAATGCTGTAAGTTCATTCTGTGAGCACAAGGGTGGAGAAATCACAGTAAGTCTCTTAATGAACTCAGCAACTGGATAAGATGTTAAATAAAATGTCTTGGCCTTTACCAATATGGACAAAGGAGGAGTAAGCATCACCACTGTGAATTACCTGGTGATTCTGGGTCATTGTGCCTGCTCACAGAGTTTCACATGTTTCATACTCTCTAATTTCTCTTTGCTATGAACTGCCACTTGGCCCACAAGCAATGTCCTTGGACAACGGAAGGAAGAGGTTATCTATATTTTACAGACTAGACATCTTGCTCGTATCAACGAGAATCTAGTCTCAAATGAATCAGGCACAAATGAGAACTTTAATATCAGTTGTCTAACCTTAAACTTAACTGCACCTAAAATAATACACTTGGAATCAATCTGGACCTTTAGAGCATTCACTTAATTATTTCAGGATGAAAGTACAGTTTGTCAAACCATTAACTTGCTGCCTAGATCTGCAGTGGAACAAACACTAACGTAGGTGGCCGACGAGTTGGATTCCAGGCTTAGCTCTACCACAACGTCCTTTGTGAGCCCTGGTTTCTAATTCCGTAAGACTATGCCTCATAATACTACGTTAAATACAATGATGTCTAGGAAAGCAACTTGAAAACTTGTAAAGAACCTTAATAATGTAATGAGTTATTAGTATTTTAAACAATACCATTTTTATACCTTTTCTATTGAAATTTTTAAGTATAATTTCATTAAAAAAAATAAGCTTTATTTGTATACCTGGAATACTGACATTTATTTTGCTGTAATCACTATTAAAATCAATCCCATATTCCTCTTCCTATATCACACAAAAACAAATTATTAATATCTTACAGGATTATCCATGAAAAAGACTAAGGTGAAGTACTATTTTGAACTTTAGTCCTTAACTATTGGTAACATTCTTTTTGGGAATCTCAAAAATTTGAGTTCTTAGTTCCATTTTTCAAAATATTAATATGAAGAAAAATCAGAGCTGTGTACCAAAGGAAGAAGTACTTCAGCTGATAATCAACATTTCAATCCTATTTCTCACAACTAACATATTTGGTAATTCTCTACTTTAGCTTCTCTACCTTTAAAATGGAAATAATACTGACTTCAACAAGAATTGTAAATAATTTACAATTATTGTAATTACAATAATTTTAAACTAATTGTAAATAATTAAAATTATAAAGTTTTGAGCAAATATTAGCTAAATGCTAAATGTCATTGCTAAGTCTTATGCCCTTGCTTGGTCCTAGATATTTCTAGATATTTCCTATATGTATTAATTTAAACAACTTTAGAGTCATCTTTTTGAAAGAGAAAAATATACTGCCTTCTTGAATTTGGGCCTTCCATATGTGGAAGATCTGTGGAAATAGTGGAAGGATGGGAACCATAGAGACCTGCCCATTAAATAGGTTGGAATGAGAGTGTCCATGTGCCTTATCAGAGCAAACTTCTCATCTCAGAGCTCTGCATTCCCTACCAGGTCATGGTATCTGCAGGTCGTAAAGGTTAGACCAAGCGTGGTTTGACCACATCACTTTTGGGAAGTGAGACAACTCAGAAATATGTAGGCATCTGTTGTGCTAGAAAAAGTACTACTGCTTTGGTTTGCAAAAAGCATAGCCTTTATGAGTTTATACAAATTGGGGCTAAAATCAAAGAAACAGATATAGTGAGAAGCAGCAGAGCTTAACATAATACTAGGGAAATGACACAACTGCCTGCCCCTTACCCAAATGTCAAGAAAGCTAGTATAATTTAGTTTATCGAGAGTCGAGGGAGGTTGCGTTTGTCAAAAGTGCTGCCAGAAACTCTAACTGACCCCAGTTCTAACCTAAAGACAACCCCTCACAGTGGACAGCAGGATATACTGTTCAAATGAGCACCTCTGTGTCCTAGGAACACAAATCTAGTAAACTAAACTATACTTGACTATGAAGTGTTTCCCTTTTAAAATTATTTCCTATCTTTTTTTCCCATTTACAAAGTAAGTCTGTTTATAGTAAAAACAACAACAATGACAACAACAACAAAAACATTAAAAAAGACAATATAAAAAGCATAAGTTTCCAGCAACGTCATCATGTGGAAATGGCTAGTGGGAAATTCAGCATACATTCCTTGAGGACAAGAGTATTTAAAATATTTATATAAAAGGACAAATAGTATATTAGGCTCTGTAGGCTACAGAGTCTGTGTCGAAACTACTCAGCCCTGCCACTGCAGCATAAAAATTAGACAAAATGTAAATAAATGAGTGTGATTGTGTTCTAATAAAACTTTATTTACAAAAACAGGCAGAAGGTGGGATTTGGCCCACTGGTTGAGTCTGCCCACGCTACTCTACATTGTTTCTTTTTTTTCTGCATATGCTAATATATATGTCCTTATGTTTATTCTCCTTCATACATATTTTTTCATACATATTTGAAAATAAATTTTAAAAAGGACAAATTTTAGATAGTGTTTTACAATTTGCTTTCTTCACAACACATCGTGGACATTCTCATAATACCCAGAGATCTCTCTCTCTCCACTGCACAGGAGTATTATATTTTTTTTAGTTAATGTGGAACTGATGAACATTTAGTTGACTCTGATTTTCTGGTATTAGAAACAAGCCAGCAATAAACATTCTAGAACTGCACTGTCTAATACAGTAGCTACTAGGCACATGTGGCTACTGAGTACTTAAAAAAGTGTAAAATACATCTAGATTTCAAAGACTTAGTTAAAAAAAAGGTAAAATATCTCTAATATTTTTAATACTGACTACACGTTGAATTATTTTAGATATACTGAGTTAAATATATTATTAAAGTTAGTTTCACCTATTTCTTTTTGCTTTTTAATGTGACTACTAAAAATTTTTAAATGGCAAATGTGAGTCCTATTTCTTTTAACAGCCTTGTTGTAGAACATATATCTTTAGTATCTGCGCATTTATGAGGGATATATATCTAAAACTAAATTCATTGATCACAAAGCGTAGATATTTAAGATTTTAACTGATATTGCCAAATTATCCTCTAAAATAGTTGCAATACACATTTCAATAATAGTAGGATAGGCCATTATTAAACTTACACTTTTTACAAATGTGATAGACGAAAAATAATGTATATATATATATGTATACGCATTTTTAATCATTAGGTTTTATTTTTATCAGAGTTATGTAAGCACACTGTGTAAAGAATCAAATATTTCTACAAGGATTGTTAGGAAAAACAGCAGTCTCTTTCCCCAATAGCACCATTTCCCATTCCTTGATAGTTGATTCTCTTGTTTTTTACCTACATATCTCTGAATAACATGAATCTTAAGTCGTCATTTTTGGCATTATAGTCACCATTTCCCATCTATCCATTCTGCCATTATAATTTATTCTGTAATTTTGACTAGATCAAAATTGTAGTGTTGGCATTAAGACTAGTAAAAGCTATTTACAGCTGTGCATGTAGTATACCAAGGTTATTTTTCTTTTTTAATTCCTTATTTTCCTTGGAATTAATTATCTTTCAAAATTTATTTTTACTTCGCTTTTTATACATTAGTTGATAAAATCTGTCCTTTTTAAAATTTATTTTCAAATATGTATGAAAAAATATGTATGAAGGAGAATAAACATAAGGACATATATATTAGCATATGCAGAAAAAAAAGGAACAATGTAGAGTAGCGTGGGCAGACTCAACCAGTGGGCCAAATCCCACCTTCTGCCTGCTTTTGTAAATAAAGTTTTATTAGAACCAAACTCTCTGTCATTTATCTAAACAGCTGCTATCAAGATATTCTGATATACTGGTGTCCTAGTCAATTCATCATTTTGGTTAAAATTGCTCACAAAGCCTCTTGACCACCTCTGTTTGGGACAGGCTGTCCTCTTCTATTGGCATACAGCTCTTATCCTAGGATCTCCTAACTTTATCATTATACTGGGGAGCCCCTTTACTTCTCTCCTGTGTTCAATCTTTTGTTTCCTGGGTCCCATATATTCCTCTTACTTAATGTATTCACTCATTTTCATAGTGCACATCCTCTTGTAGCTTCGTAAGAAAGGGTGCACGAGAAGTAAAATTTTTGAGACCAGATTTTTGAGAATATCTCTATTCTACAGTCCAACCAGACTGACAGTTTGGCTGAGTACAGAATTCTAGGTTGGAAATAATTTTCCCTCAGAATTTTGAAAGCATTGTTCATTGGCTTCTAGCTTCTTGTATTGACGTTCATAAATCTGAGGCTACACTATAATCCTGATCCTTTCTTTACATATGACTGTCTTCTCTTTCTGGAAGCTTGAAGGATCTTTCTTTGTCTTCAGTAGTTCAAAATTTCACAACGATGTATCTTGGTATGGTTCTATCATCCATTAGGGTGGGTCCTTCTGATCTGGAAACAGGTCTATGAGTTCCGATAAATTGTTTTGTTAATGATTTCCTCCCCTCTACTTTCTCTGTTCGCTCTTTGGAACTCCCATTATTTAGAAATTGGATCTCCTGGACTCTTCTTAAATCTTATATTGTTTTCTCCTATTTTCATCTCTCTCTCTTTACTTTTTGGGAGACTTCCTCACAATTTTATCTTCTAAGCTATTGAGTTTAAAATTTTAAAAAAATTTTATTACATTTTTACTTTTCAAGTATTTTGTTTGTTTGTTCTTAAGAGTGTTCCTTTTTAAAAATAGCATCCTGTCCTTGCTCCAGAGTTGCAGTATCTTCTGTCTCTGAGGATATTAATAATGAGGTATTTTTTGTTGCTGTTGTTTGCTTTGGTCTCTTTCTTAATAAAGGCTTTCCTCAGAAATCTGATAATCCTTGATTTGTTTGCTCATATTTAAAAGCAGGAGATTGCAAAGTTAATTGGCACTTTGAGTACAGGGGTGGGACTTTTAAAGTACAGATCTCACTGCAGAATGACCTAGTTGGGCCATTTCATTAGGGAAACCCTCTTGTCAGTATGCTCAGATGTTTTCTTTATGGAATGGTCAGATTCCCCAGAAGCAACTCAGACTCCTGCCTGGAAGTACCTACTTGGCTATCAGCATTCAGAAGCACTAAATGGGGAAAGCAGGCAGTCAATATGCATACATTCATTTGATCTCCCTTTTTTCAGGCTAGTACTCTGCCCCCAAATGTGACCCTCTATTTTGCCTTTTCCAAAGAATATATCTTTTGCTGGGGAGGGAGGAGAACATCTAGAATCTCTGGCTTCTTAAGCAGACTTTTAACCAATATTCTTTATTTTAGCGCATGCCCTCCACACCCACCTAACACCTTACAGAATGCCAACTTCTGAGTCTTTTGAGGATTCCCCAGTATAAATAGAGTCTCAGCTTTCCTCTCTATTGGCTCAGGATTCAGTTTTCTTGAGATTCCTAAGTCACTTAATAATTACCCATCTACTTTCCAGCTTCTAACATTTTGTTGCTGTTGCATCCTCTTTTGTTTTTTTCCATCCTTATATAGATTTATGCCTTTAAAAAATCTCTTTACTATTCTTTTCGTGTTGTTTCAGGAGGAGTGAGAGTACATCTGTGTGTTCAATCCATCATTTTTACCTCGATGTTCCTATGATGTTTTTACAGGGCCAAAGCTATCTCTCAAATTCCTGTGAGTAACATGATCTTCAGTGAATCACTCCATGTAAATGCATAACCTAGACAACCAGACCTACTGAGATGCATTTCTATGTGCACAAGGTTTGTCTACCCCTTTATAGGAATTTCTGTTTGGTAGTTCTAGGTTCACTTGTATACCTCAAATGGTGGTGTCACCTACTAGTATGAGAAAAATATTTATGTTAAGATTATTAAAACAGTGACATACAAGAAAAGAGACACAAGTACTTCAGAAATAATTCTCTAAGACCATACTTATTCCAGCAGAAAAAAGAAATAGCCCAACTTCTTGGGTACCTATTCAGAAACAGTTGACCTGAACTAATTAACATTCTCACCTTATGCACTAAGGCATATATCATCATGGAATGAGCTACATCTGCAGTCCTCTGGTCAAAAAATACTTAATTTTATACACATTCCAGGTCTTTACAATTCACAGATTTGACACTAACACATTTCCATCTTGACATTATTTTTATGGTTTATCATGAGTGGATCAAGGTTGTAAGACTAGTTTAAGCAGAAATCAGTATCAGAAATTACGGAAACGTTTCTTTGTCAATGACAACAACCAGCAATCTTTCTACAAGTGACACTTACAAGTCCACATAGGCAGAAAATCAGCACATGGATATTCAGTTATCTATAGGAGCACCTTGACCCTGCTCTAAGTTTCTATTCTAAAGGAACCTGAGTTTCAGAGCAAGCCAACATTCTACCAGCCAAACTGGAAAGGCCAGGAAAAGGCAATAAAGGCAGTAAGTACCTGCACTGATCCCCCATGGCGGTCTGCAGCCAAGTGAGACGTCAGGTACGAGGTATTGGTCTGCCGGCTGGGCTGGATTTCCCATTCTCCTCGGCGCTCTGACGATGCAGTCTGCTCAGGCATTAGGAAGCATGAGAGCAAGATATGGAAGGAAAGGTGAAGCAACAGCAAGCAATAACAAAATCAAGTACATTAGTGTCCCTGAGGGTTTTGTTTTCATTTTGGATTTTAAATTAACAACCACTGCAAAGCACTGAGAAAAAGTTAGCTTGGCTACATTAATTTCAGCCTAATGAGCCAATACATGACATTCTACAGCACACTACCCTGACCTAGACACAGAAGAAAAAAAAAAATCACCAAAAGAGGGAAAAAGCCATCAAAGGCTAAAATCACCTTTTAGCTTCCAAATTAGTAAAATTTCAGTAGCTACTAAGCAGACCAAATTCAGAATGTTAAGATTGTTGAACAAAGGAACAATCATACTCACAAATCATTTTACTGATTAAAGATCTATCTAAGCAGACAGAAAATTCCTAGCATTAGGAATGAAGATAATATGCCTTTTCCTTAAATAGGGAGCCCACTACTCTCAACATAAACCTCCATGAGACTTTCAACTAAGAGGAAATGAGCAGGGGCAGTGGCTGGAATATGCTTTCTTAGTTAAAAGAATGAACAAAGTATCTCTTCAAACCAGGTTCATAGGTCAAGAATATGAAAAGATGGGGAAAAAATAAGGCCACATTGTTTTCCGATTCCTCTAGCTAACATCCTCTAGTCCAGATTTAGAAAACGTTTAGATATAACCACTATGAATTATTTCTTCTAGAAAGCAAAAGGCAGATCTTTTGCCAGCAAAAGGAGGGCTTTCAATTCAAACCCTTTTTGGGTTCTGCTTTCACCTTTGCTGTCAGTCAGGCTTTCTTCATTCCTTTTTTACCTGTTTTTTAGATCTCACACTATTCTGATCTTGCTCATATGTGATTTTTGTTCTGAAGAATCTGTTTAGGTGCCTCTTCCCCGTACCAGATGGCTAAGGAGGTGTTAACATCATGATGCTCAGCTGTAACAGTCCTAAGGCGCTATAAAAATGAAAAATGAGGCGTTGGAGAGGCAGCAATGAGGGATTAGTAAATCAAATTTTAATTGCTGCTGATATAAACAGCAGCAGGGGTTGGGATGTGATATTGCTGCTCTGCATGAAACCAGTAAGGATGCTATAAATCTTAGAAATGTTCACAGCTATAAATGTTGTATTCTATTAAAAAAAAAAAAAGTAAGAGTGAAGAAGCAGTGGTTTGAGGCTTCATGTTCACTCTCCCCCTTCTGTTGACAAGAGTTGTTTAATGCTCATCTATAAGTCACCAAAATGGCTTTCTTATTTTTTTTTAAAAAGGCCTCATGCACCAGCTACAACTTACTTATCTTCTTTATTAATGGAATATGAAGTCGCATGGGTAACAGCACTATAAAGGATCCTGGCCATGTTTCCTGATGTTCCTCAGGGAATGAGCATATTCTCTAAGAAGGCAGCTGTATTAACTTGCTTGCTACATACTCTTACAAAAGAGGGGTTTGATTTTATATTGCTAGTCACATTCGAGAGAATCAAAGCTACCCCAAAAATATCTCCCTCCCATTATTTCTGCCAGCAGAATTTCAGATGTTTCATTTTCCAAAATAAGACTGGTTTATAACATAATCATAACAATTTTATATAGCTTATTGATAGTATCCATACCCTCAGAGCACTTAATCTCATTTATTCTTACTACTACAGATTTAAGGATAAATGTGTTCCAAAATAAGACTGGTTTATAACATAATTATAACAATTTTATATAACTTATCAATAGTATTCATACTCTCAGAGCACTTAATCTCATTTATTCTCACTACTATAGATTTAAGGCTAAATGTGTTCTAATATTATTAAGTACTATCTATAACTGATATCTATTAGTGACAGCCTCTTTAGTTCTTGCTAGGACTTTTTTATTTTTTATAATATTTAAGTAGAATATTTAAGCTCCTAAACTACAGAACTGTTAAGTTCTCAAAAACTTTAAATGCTTAAAAAATATCCAGACATTTATAAGCTATTCGGTGTTGAGTTCTATGATATGTGTTCAATGCAATTACTTCTTTCATGAATGCTGTTTTGCCTTTGTTTTTAAAGCAGATAAAATTTTAAATGGCAAGAAATGCACATAAAACACTCACATACTTTTAAGCTTAACAAAACCCTAGACAGTTGATCAACTATTATTTCCATTTTTACTGAAATACATCTCAGAAGTCTGGTTTGATGCTACTATCTGATTCACAGGGCTGTGTACTTGTTTATATTCATTCTAGCTAAATAAATAATTTGTTGGAAGAATTGAGATTTTTGTCCTAATAGTTTTGTTTTAATGAAAACATCAAGACTTTTTCAAAGGCCTAGAAGTTACTCCATCTCCATCCTCAAGTAATGTGCTACTTATCTTTTAAAGAGAGAAAAATGTTAACATTCCTGATTGCTTCATAAATGCTTTCACCGTGACAAAGGAAGAAAATACTATACCATACAACTATCTTCCGATGCCTTCTATGTCCACTGAAAGCAATAAAACTAAGTGACAAATGTGAACCTGGTTTGTTAGGTTTATTATTTCAGGAATTACTTTTCATCATGATGCTAATAAGCTCTACGACTATTCTTTTCTGGAATTTAAGGGCTTGCACTTACACCTAAAAGTTGATGTAGTAGAAAGGGTCATCTGCCAGTTTTAGAAAGCAACTGAGTGCCTAGGAGCTCGATCAAACCAAGGAATGTTGACAACTACAGCATTCTGCTAGTGTACCTTCCCCTGAAAGGTATTCTAGGCAATGCTGTGTACACAGGGGTTATGATTAGGCATGATCAGCACAGGAACTAGTTATGCTAAGCAAACTAGTAGAGGAAATCGGCATGTGAACCCTTCTCTCTCAAAGATCACTCATGCACAAGTGTCTATCTAAAAGGCTATTAGGAGCATCCATGAGTAGAAAAGTCATTCAGCAAAGGCAATTCCTCTGCATTACTTGAAAAGCAAAGGTCCACCTGGAGCGTGTAAATCCCCAAAGGTAGAAGCAGGAATCTCAAGCAGTGGGAATTCCTTGGGGGAACACTTTACAATCTTCAGTTTTGATTGTATGACCTGCGTGGAAATGCTTGGTTTACTATCCAGTAGGTGAGTGTGGAAACGAGGAAGCAGTAATCCCACATAGCATAAATCAAAGGCAAAGCTAACAAAAAATACTTGAGGAAAACACAGAAGCCTGGTGTAAAAAGTCAAACCCAGCACCTAGGCCTAGGGTAGAAGAAACAAGTATCTCAGCAGTCATTTGGCAGGTATTAATGGACAAACAGTGAAGAGAACAACATTAATAAGAGGACAGGTAAATATAGTCTGATAACCCCTCAGATACTACCCCATCTATGGCTAGAAAATTATTTCGAATTCTTACTGAAGATAAGTTACTGTTCTGAAGCAAAAGGCAGGTAAACATCTTTCTTCAGTTGTAGCAAACAAATCACCAAATCCTATTCTTTATACAAAGTTATTTTAAAAACTTAATGTTGATTATATTCACAAAGAACTTTATCCATTTCACTTTATGGCTCCCCAAATACTTTAAAAGTTGCCATTTATACAGAACATTATGGTCTCTCATGTCAGACTTCCAGGCCTCATTATAGTCTTCAACTATAACAATAATAGAGACTGGATAGTATCAAAGGTTAGCAATGAATACACTAGAGTCCATTCTGACTTATCACACTTCCAAGATAAAAATTTTTTTAATGTAGTTGGGTGTAAGATGAAGAAGTAAGAATGGGGCAGGAAGAATGATAAAGGAAACATCTTAAGAAATTTTGAGGATATAATGAACCTTAGATATGAAATGAAAAAAAAGCTGGCACAGTTATTGAAATATATACTTTAACAAAATTAGAACTTCCTTCTATTAAGCCCATGAAATAGAACCAATTTTCCTATGCCAGACAGGAGTTATTCCATATAACCTGTCACATGTGCTAAAAGTGACTTCTTGTATTCTATATACTTGATCATGTATCAGGGATGTTTGAAAATCACTGATAAGAACCTGGAAGGGATTATTACCAAGCTCCATGCTATGCAGGCCCACAGAGCTGAGAGTATCAATTTAGTGAAACTCTGAAAAATCACAGGAACCATCCTAGAGGTCTGAAATCCTCTACTCAAACTCTGCCCTATTATTACTCAAATGGCATAAGACACCTCCCCTGGGGAATGATTTATCTAGGCAGGATTACTCCAGAATTACCTTCCTACAAGGAGGTGCCTCAGAACACAGGGTGTTTGCTGCAATACAAAATACTGAAGAATGCACACAGAGAAAAATTTTAGTATGGAACAGAGAATTAAGAGCAAAGGTAAGCAGCAGGGACTAGGTGATAAAAAGGTAAGAAACTAAGAAAAAGACTGTATTTCAGTTTTGCATTTGCTTGTTTCCTCCCTGGAGTTAAGATCCCAGAAATGAGGAGGGACAGTCTTATTCCGCATTGAGCTCTATGCTGGAGGGTGGCAGGGCGAGTGCACTTTCCACACCTGAGCTCCTGCTAGACAGCAGGTGGCAAGTTAGAAAATTACACACAGGTCAGAAAGGGGCAAGTTACTTCTGAATGAACACATTTGCTCCTTCAGCTAGCAAACTCTGAACCTGGCTGAAAATGAAGCACCATTCTATAAAAGGGAATAGAAAAATCAGTTTTTGTTTGTTTGTTTGTTTGTTTTTAAGGCTGCCAGACTTTTAAAAAGGACTAAAGATATTTTTTATATGAAGATCTCTGACCATCTTGGCTACTTAGCAATCTAGCTTAACTTCCCCTTTGGAAAAGCTATGCTTATAACAAGCTTCGTTCAGAAAGCACCACAGCACTAAAACATTTTTCTTCTAAGGCTATATATTCCCTAAATCTAATCCCTTGGAGTCTAGATACAAACAAACAAACATCTGAACCTCTCTTTTACTGTGGGCACATCTTTAGATCTCAATATGATTTGACTCTTTTAGGTTTTGTTATTTATTTCTTGTCT